GGTGTCGCCGCTGCTCTGGGAAGATGAGGTGCCTGGCTGTGCTCCGCTCAGATGCTTACAGCTAACATTCTGAGGAAAGCGCTCCCCACGGCAACCTGGGCCCCCAGCACCCAGCCCCTACATGGCTTCCCTCAGGGGTGAACTCATTAAGTACACAGTTACTGACCTCCTAGGGTGGGCCAGGTACTGTGCCAAGCACTGAGATACAGCAGTGGGCGAGACCCACAAAATCTCTGCTGTGCGGGCCGACATCCTGGAGCAGAAGAGAGGACACGGAGCTGGTTCCGTGTGGTGAGTGGGAGGACGGCGGAGCTTTCCCGGTGAAGGGCCAGGCAGCCAGGCTCTCGGTAGGCAGCAGCAGCGCTCCTCAGGGAGGGACCTCAGCGCGGGCTGGGACACCGGCCAGGAACAGACGCCTCCGAAGCTCTGCCCCGAGAGCTGGCGGGCCCGGCCTTGCTTTCTGCCTGACCCACACTTCAGGCACGGGACGGGCCATGCTCCTTAGAAGAAAGATGTTCAGGGTAGCTGGAGCTGCAGCAGGCACTTGGGATTCTCACCTTGGGCAGCCTGGCCGGGGACAAGAACGGAGGGTGGTGATTTATTGTCGCCTGTTGAAAGAATGAAGGGACGCACTTCTCCTGTGTGCGTCCTCTTTCTCCCCGACCTCACAGCCAGGTGCCATCCAGGTCCCCAGCCTAGGGCCTCAGAAGGCCAAGATCTCCTCACTTGGCAGAGGTGCACTACAGCCCGGGCTGTAGAAACTCACCCAGGGAGAGTGTGCTGGCCACGTTGGGAGTGGAGCAGCCACAGGCCTGGGGTCACAGCAGTGCACAAGCCATCAGGTGGCTCCCCATGTTGTGGCCTGATGAGGAGGCATCCAGAGGCCCGGGGTTCTGTCATGAGTCTGCCACATGTGGCGTGTGTCACCTGTGACATGGGAGGGGGCTGGGCCGGGGTGACGCCTCTACTCCGTCCCTCCTTCGCATTCCAGTGGATCCACAGAAAGGAACTTTGGAGCCTGTCATTACCAGGCTGAGCCCGACAGCCATCAGGCTGGGCTCTGGGGCAGCTTGTGTGGGTGTAGGTGGGGTCAGAGGACTCGGGCACCCTCCTCCCACGTGTGGCTCTGGGCAGGACCCCAGCAAGCAGCTGCTGAGGTCCTGGCACTCCTTGGGCAGCAGTGGTGACTCCTGAGCAGGCCCCAACCGGGGTCCCCTTGGGGCCTGCACCCAGAGGGGTGACACCTTGGGGGCCAGGGCTTGGTAGGAACCCAGGCACACTCTGCTGCCACCGTTGCCAGTGCTCCTCAACCCTGCAGGTGCCCGGGGGCTGACAGGGACACAAGAATTTCTACTGTAGGGAAACCCAAGAGGGAGCTGTCCCTTGGAGATGTGTTGATTTCTGCAGACACTGTTTTTCACCCACCCAGAGACACGAGCCCACCCTCAGCCCTGGGCCGCCCTGTGTGTCGGTCCCTGGCTGGCCCTGGAGATGGCTGTAACACCGTACCGGCCCTTTATTAGTGGCAAGGTGAGTGCTGACACCTGTTGCTTGTATGAGTCATTATTTTACCCTCACAAACCAGACACCCCATCCACACGTCACTCGGTCAGACCTGGCCTTCACCCAGAGCTGGTTCCTGCTCAAGTCCAGGTGCCTCCTCATCCCCCCACACACAAGCAATACACGCAGTGGGAACATGTGCATGCACACACACACACACACACACGTGTGTGTGCATGCACGCACACGGGCTCACGCTCAGCTGTGTACTCACACATGATGTCCCCCACTGCACATCAAAACAGGTTTTTGCTGGGGACAGGTGGCGCGGTGCTAAAACCAAAGTCATCGGGCCAGGACTGAATGGGATGGGATACTAATGCCCAAGGCCATGCAGAACATGCAGCTAGACCTAAGCAAGGTAGCAGCTTTGGGACAAAATGACAGTGATTGTGTCATCCACGCAGCGCCTTAGCTCAGGAGACACCAGCCCCGACCCAGCCTCCCAGGCTAGCCCTGGACTTTCCTGGTGCCCTCCTGCCCTGAGGAAGAGGCCAGAAGTCTGCAGCTGTGGTGGGTGGGCGTCAAGAGTTCCCTCTGAGGCCCCTGTCAGTTTCATTTTTATGACTTCTCTCTGGGTTGCCCAGGTGGATGGATGGCCGAGGTGGATGGATGGCCGAGGATGGCCGAGGGCCTGAAGTTCTGGGCCCGCCCTATGGGGGCAGCAGATCGCCTCTGGATGTCCGGTAGCAGGCCCTTCACATCTCAGCAGGTGGGCAACAGGAACATGAGGCCACGCAGCCACAGGGCTCCAGGGAAGGCACAGGCTTTTCCCACAGCTTGACCCAGGGTGGCCAGAACAGCCTCATGTATGTCCTGGGGGCTCTGTCTAGCCTCGGTGGGGACACACAGCTGGGCCCTGAGAAGTGCTAGCACATGGAGTCCCACCGGGTCGCGGTGCTAGCTGAGTCCGTCCCCACTGCTCATGCACCCAGCGCGCCCAGTTCTCAGCCTGACCCCTCTGAGAGGAACGACGGTGGCCCAGGCCACAGGCTGTGCAGTGGCCAGAGGTGCACAGAGCAAGGCGCGGTGGTGCCTGCTTGCGATCCTGGCACTCTGGGAAGGCTGAGGCAGGTGGGGCAACTTGGTGAGGCCTAGCCTCAGAAAAAAAAGAAATTAAAAGGGACTAGGAGTAGCTCAGTGCAGAGGCCCTGGGTTCAATCCCCAGTACTACAAGGGAAAAACACCTGGAACGGTGCTGCGCCATGAACCTTGAAGGCTGAGAGAGCCCCAAAGAAACCCCAGGGCAGTGGGCTGGTGGCAAAGATGGGTCAGGGTGGCCCAGGTGGTGTGGAGCTGGCTGCAGAAGGCACCTTGCCCCACCCCTTGTGACGTGCATGTCACCAGCCCTCTAGACCGCAGGCTCACTCAGCCTCTCCACCCAGCACACACATGAAGGAGGTGTGGACTAAAATCACTTTAATAGCAACAGCAACGTCTTAGGGCTGGGAGCCTCGGGAGACACGGCATGGGTGGCACTGGACAGCCACAGCAGACGGATGGTTCACGCGGAAGACAGACGGTGGGGAGGTGGGAGGCGCTCCTGCCCAGCCTCTTCAGGCCCCAGGCAGGCAGGCCTGGCCTCTACGCAGGGTACTCGTACTCTTCCTCCGCGCTGCGCCGGCCGAAGTCCATCCAGCCCACGTAGTCCCGGTCGCTGATCCTGTGGTTGGGGTCCAGGCCCTGCAGGCTCTTGACCATGGCCATGCGGCCCGAAGGCGCTGCGAGGCAGAGAGAAGGACAAGGGTGTTAACCCGAGGACCTGACCGCTCGGACCCTGAACAGCAGAAAAGGCCAGACCTCACAGGAACCAGGGAGCCACTGTGAAGACCAATACAGGGAGGAGGAAGCCTGGGGGCCGGCGGCCCGGGCAGCACCCACCAGAGACGGGTGGGCTCCTTTGCACCTGCCTGGTGCAGGCTCTGGGCTTGCCTCCGTTTACCTCGTGTCCCAACCCCAAAACCTGTGGATGTGGATCCCGGCTCTTCCTGCTGCCCGACCACTCCTAGATCCCACCCTTAGCGGCCACAGGGCGCCTGGCTCTGCAGGGAGCTTTACGCCAGGCTGGTCATGGCGTCCTGATGAAGTGATTAAAAACAAACACAAACAAAAAAACAAGAAACAAAACAAAAAGGGGATCAAGTCCCACTGCTATATAAATTGTTTTAAACTATAAGACCCAGAGAAGGATACACTAATGGGCTGAGATCTCTGCTCCCAGAAAACACCTTCCAGAGACTCACAGGCGAGAGGTCACAGTGACCTCACTTAAATCAGCATCTGCCAAACGTGACAGCCAAGCCCCAAGTAGGTGCAGCCCCAGGAGCTAGGCCAGCAGCTCTCAGCTGGAAGCCAGGCTGAGCAAGCAGGCACAGGAAGGCTGCCAACCCTGCCCCAGAGCATCATCAGCTCCCTCAGGGCAGGAAATCAGTGCGGGGTCTGCTGGACATCTCTCTCGCTGACTCCTAAGCCCAGAGACAGGGCTGCCCCGTCCCAGGCGGGTAGAGGCTGAGGGGCTTATGTAGTGAAGGACCCTGCAGGAGTGGCAACTAGCGAGGAACTCCGCCAGCTAAGGAAGCCAGGAAAAAGCAAGCACATAGAACAAAGTCCCCACCTCCCACAGCCCTACCCCTTCCCAGGTGGGGGTTAAGTGTCACCTCAGCCAGTGGCGCGCACATGTGCATGCACACGCATGCACACACACACACACACACACACACACACACACACCCGTCGTGGACACTTGCTGTGCGGGATGAAGGCAGCCCCACTGGGAGCTGGTTCATAGTGCAGCAAGCCTGCAGACCTGGCACCTGATAGTCCCTTGAAAATGGACCATCCTACTATCTGCTCTAGGATGATGCCACTCCAGGGCTGTCACCACCAAGGTCCCCATGCTCACCCCTGCACCCCACCCCCCATCATTCATGATGCCTGCACCTGTGGTTGTCCCCACCGTCGTCCCCAGCTCTGATGTGGAGGTGGCTGACAACTGATCTCTGGAATTGGAGTAAAGAGCCTGACCCCTTCAACCCAGGAAAGCAGTGCCACTGGGCTAATGTCCCAGGCCCTCAGCCCTACTGCCATCTCTTGTCACCCTCTGGGGCCAGTGGACTCACATGACACAGCAGGTGTGAAGGTGCCTGGAGGGCTCTTGAAAGGTTGGAGAGAGGCCAGGCAGATGCAGAGCGGGCTCTGCAGTCCAGGCTGGTGTGGCTATGTGCCACTGGGCCACTGGCCACTAGAGGCCTCTCCTTCCCTCCTCCTCAGGCCTGCGTCTCCCAGCTCCCAAGGGCAGGTTTCTGGCTGGAGCCCTGAGGCACAACAGGCTCAGAGCTGAGAAAGCCCAGTGTGATTGCAAAGTCTGCAAACGCAGGAGGGCCCTGGGCAGTCTGTGTAGAAATACCTGTCCTCCTTGCCATCCACCACAAGAGCTGGGTGGGTCTTAGCTGGCACTGACCTGGGTGGAGCAGCAAATCCCTAAGCAGTTGCTGCTCCCCCTGTTCCCCTTCGGCTGGGTGCTGAGAGGAAGGAGGAGGGGCTGGGAAAACGCTTGGAAACCCCTCCTGCAAAGGGTCAAAGGGTCAAAAGGCTGCACTGCCAGAGCCTCTGGCAGCTAGGGTCTAGGAGCTGGCTTGGCGGTTCACTTTTCTTCTAGATTGTTTTGGATCTTTCTTAGAGCTGGGGAGAGTTCCCCATCTACCTATGGCTCAGTGACAGCCTGGCTGATCTTCAGACCACATCAGGGGGCAGAAACTAAATTACTTTCAGATCAATAATGAGAAACAACCCCAAGCGGTCAGACTTTCTCCATCCCCTGCGGCTCGGGCCAGTGTTTCTGTCTCTCAAAGCAGCACACGTAGCAGGCAAGCAGCACAGGGGGAGCTGGGGTGACTTCCCCACAGGAGGAAGACGCGCAGCAAGCAGCTTCTCCTGTCCTTTCCTTCTTGAGCCCGCTAAGGCTCAGCACCAGGCTCTGGCGCAGCAGTAAGAGCCCCGTGGAAGGGGCCTCCTGAGCCTCCCTGTCCAGGCCCGTAGGTCCTGTGTGGCGGCTGCCCGGCAGCTCAGCTCGTGTGGTCTGTGTCACTGTGGATAAAGCTGGGAGGAAAGCCTGTCCCCACGGGGGATTCCTGCAGATGCCTGAGCCTCTTCAAAGTCAGAGAGACAGGAAGGGCTCAGGGACCCCTGCCCACCTTTTTGTTGCCACAGGAAGCCAGGCCAGGAAGGAAATCCTTGGCTGGCTCCTGGCCAGGTCACTCCATTCCCCATTCCCGGGGAGGACTCGGGTGCTGAGACACAGCAAAATGCAAAAAAGCGCGTCTCTCCATAACCTCATTACCCGCCCACTGTCAAGGAAAACTTCAAGCAGCTGCCTCTGCCTTCCCTCTCCTCTCCTACTCGTTGGACTCTGCTGAAACGGACACCTCCGTCGCTTCTTTTTGTAGGGTCCCAGGCATTCTCTGGGCTGGTACCGCGAGCAGGGGTTCCAAATTGGTGGCTCCCAGACCCACCGCGTTAGCAAAGGACGCGCTTTAGTGCCTCTGGGAACCAATCCTTTTGTGGGTGCAGGCACTGTCCTTAAATTTGCCCATAAAATGGTGCTGAACGTGATCAGAAACCCGGCGTCCAAAATTAGCTCAAAGGAAGGGCTCACCTGCAGTCCTGCACATCCTCTCTGGATTTGCTGCACAGGACCTCTGGAAACCACCCTGCGCGGGGCGGAGGGACTCTGCAAAGGGGCCACGTCCTCTGGGCACCAAGCGGAAGTCACCCTGGGCAGGCAGGGCAGCAAAGGGCTGGGGAGGGGAAAGGGCCTCACCTTTCCGGGCCTGCTGGATGTACCGAGCGAGCAGCACGCCCAGACGCGCCCGGGGCTCAGCGCCCGTCCTCGTCCGAAGCTGCCTCTGGGGCGCGTCCTCTGCACCCAGGGTCCCGGGGCCCAGGGGTCCTGCCGGGGACAGAGGCTGCGTCCATGCGCCGGTCGCCAGAACCGCCATCAGCACGCACAGGCACAGGCCACCGTTCATGGCTGTGGAGAGCAGGGAGGGGTGAGGGCCGTTGGGGAGCAGGAGTCGGGGTCCCCGGGGATCCCAGGTCCGGCACCCGGAGCCCCACGGGACCTCGCTCTGCCGCGCGCGCAGAGGAAGGAAGGGCTCCGGTCCTGGAAGCGAGCAGGGTTTGAGGAGCGCACGGTTAGAGATCACACAGAACCAGGCCGTGGGAGGGCGCGCGGGGCCCCGAGGGAAGGGCGCCACCGGACAGCCCAGCTCTGCGGGGAGAGGGGCGCGGCGCGGGCGCGGCTGGAGCGCAGCCGGGTCCCGAAGTTTCCCAAGCGCGAGGCGGGCCTCCGCCAGGCGGTCCCCGCGCTCGGCTGGCCGGGAAGGCGCGCCCAGATGCGGCGTCGCCAAAGCGTAGAGAAAGCGCGCGCTCCCATCCGAGCCCGGGCTGCCCTAAGCCCTAGAGATTTGCGTCCGGACCTCCTGGGCTTTCATCGGAGAAGACGCAGAGTCCTCCTCAGCTGTTCACCCGCCTGGCGCGCACCGGGGAGCAGCACGGCCCGAGCAACCCGGAGGACACGGGACAGGGACCGCGGAACCTACCTCTGGGCGACAGCGCGGTGACTCCCGCCAGGGACCCTGCGCCGCCCCTTAAATAGCCCGGGTCGTCGTCACCTGCTGTGACGCAGCCCCGCTGCACGTGCGCACGGCGACGGCTGGGGGCGGGGACGGTCCGGAAGCCCCCGCCCCTCGCGGCTGCACCCCACGGGCTCCCGGGCTGCGCAGGAGTCGGGTTTGTCCCGCTTGGGGACCCTGCGGTCCTCTGGGGAGTCTGAGCGGAGACGGGGCTAGCGTCAGCTCCCCCGCACCCTCGGGCGCCCCGGGAAGCTTACCCGGTCTGGCTCTGCGTGCGCTCCAGCCTGGCACAGGTCCACCCGGACTCGCCCCAACCCTAAACCTAATCCTAACGGCTTTCGGCGGAGGCATCGCCCCTGTTCGGGAGCGCAGAGGAGGCCCAGCAAGCTGAGCGCCCTCCCTCAAAGCGGAGCGCCTGTCCTCCGCACCCTGAGCCAAGGGCGTTGGGCTCGCTGCTGGGCCGGCGTCGCGTCCGCCGGCCCTGCGGTCCCAGACTGCGCCCCTGGGGCACCAGCCCCGACCCCCAGCTCCCAGGCCAAGCGGGAGTCATTTGGAGCCGAGATTCCCTCGGAGACGCGGTGTGGGGACCCTGGTCCGCCCCTGCCCCCTGCTGCGGTCTGGAGAGCCCGCGGAGGGCAGGGCCTTTCTGTAAGAAACCGTGGAGATTGGTGCCAGGAGCCTAACGTAAACCTGACAGCAGAATCGCCTGATGGGGCTCAGATACCCCAGAATTCTGACTCTGCACGTGGGAGGGGGCCCTGGACCGGCTTGGAGAGCGTTGCATGGGACCTGCTCCCGGAGCTGGCCGCATCAGTCCTTGCCCCGCGTTTAATTCTTCTTTATTTGCCCACATCTGGTGCGAGCCCCAGGGCTGCGGATGAGCCAGAGCTGAGGAAACCCTGCCACCTGGTGACCTCTGGGCGCTGCTGCCCACCTGCTTGGGGACAGGTCAGGCTTTGGCCTGTAGACCCACTGGGTGAATTCATCCAGAAGTGGCTTCTGCTTTTTGGTCCAATAACAAAAGAGAACAAAGTTCTCCCTGGTCTACAGGTTCCTCTGTCTTGTCTCATGTCTCCAAGAAAAGGGGTGAAAGAACCAGCAGCCTTCCAGCTGTCCTCTGTCCTCTCTCCCTGTCATGGAGCCCCAGCAATGTGGAAGGCCCCCTGCTGGGGAGCTGGCCAGGCTCCCCATTGATGGCTGGCCGGTCTGCAGTCGAGGATTTCCATCTGATTTTGAGGAAAATAACTAGGGTGAGCTTCTGTGAAAGGCAGTCTTGAGAAAGAGGTGGCATCCTCCATGTTGTTGTGGGAAGCATCTGTCACAGGGACACACATCCACCTTGGGTTGTGGGATGTGTGGGTTTCCAGGGCCACACAGGAGCCTCTTAGCTTACTCTTCTTCCCATTAAATTGTTACAAGAAATCACATTCAGCAGAGGGAGGCGGGGAGGCTGTTGGCTGTGGTCAGAAGACACTGGCTTGACGCTTCTGCGCGGGCTCTTGTGCTTTTCCTCTTGAACACATGTTACAAGTGCCCATCCTTGTCCTGGGACATTTAAATGTCACACGACCTCCACCTCTGAGCAAGGATGGGGAGCAGAGAATTGATCTGGGGGTTAAGGTGTCCCCAGAGGCAGGAGTGGGGGAGGGGAGAGAGAAGACCCCAGAGTAAGCTGATGAGAGAGTCACTGCTGTGGACTCTTAGGAACATACACATGGTCTGTGTTTGCAGTGCATAATCATTGCATTCCTCATGGGTAGTTGGGTGGAGGAGAGGCCAGCTGCCAGCTGGTCATCTCCATGCTGTGGCCAAACAGTGCCCAAACCCCAGAGTAGCAGAGCTGGTGGGAACCCACAGTGGGTGGGCTCAGGCCCAGCCCCTGGAAGTGGGTTTGCTGAGCCTTTCAGATCGGAGATGGTGAGCAAGCTGAACTCAGGTTATTTGAGGGAGACCTGGGTTCTCTGGGGTCCTGAGGACTCAGCTTCCCCTGGAAGCAGAGGGTAAATCTGTGACCCCACAGTGATCCTGGCCTGCATGAGAGACCCCACCTGCTGGCCAGGGGTGAGCTCGTGAGCATTTAACAAGCCGAGCTCAGAATTGGTAGGGAGCTGGCATGCTAGGCAAGTGGCATCCGACCTTCCACTCATGGTCCTGCCTTGGTGCTGGGGCCAAGCGGGCCAGGTGTTCCTTGCAGTTGTGCTGGCTTGGCACTGTGTAAGGGTTTGGGACGTGGGTGTAAAAGCAGGGACAGCTCCTGCTGCGGTGGCAGAGCCACAGCGAGGATGTGACAGCAAGCGACGGGCTGGAGTGCCACAGTGAGAGCCTGCCCACACTGACGCACACCTGGAAGCCCGCTTCACAGACCCCACACGAGCCCAGCACTGTTGGTCAGTTTACCGGACTGCACTCTGCAGGGCTCGAGGGCTGCGCATCCAGAGGGCTGCGTGTTGCGGATTTCAACAGGAGACGGCTGCCATTTTGGAAATAGTGTGTCACCATGCCAGCGATGCTCATGAGTCTGAGTTCTGTGCCTGACATACGGATACTGGTTGTGCATCTAGCTGCTCCACACACAGGTCCTGTGTTTATATTATTTGGTCTTTATTGCAAATTATCAAATGACTAGAAAAATTCTGATTAGTAGCAAACTGCATGACTTGCTTGAAATCCAAACTTGTTCTGAGTAGCTGCCTGTGTCTAACACTTCTGTCTTCCAATTGGCAGAGGCTGCCCATGTATACACTGAGATACATGTGGCTTAAGTTTTTTGCATCTTTAATTTATTTATGTCTGTATTGGGTACAGGGTCTCACCATGGACCTCAGACTCATAGTAATCCTCCTGTGTCAGCCTCCCCAGTGCTGGGATTATAGGCATGTGCCACCACACCTGGTTTCGGTGGCCAGCTCAGAATGCAGTGCGAGGGATCAGACCTGGGCCTTTGTGCTTGCCAGGCAGGTGCTTAGGTCGCTGAGCCCCCAGCCCTACGTGTGGCTTATTATAATTTTTTTCTGTATTATAGAATGTTTTATACTTGCAGCTTGGACTGACTTTAAAGTATTGACAGCTGGGCATGAATTAAAATGATAAGGACCGATTTCATCAGTCATGTGCTGTTGCCATAGCAAAAAGAGTTGAACGTGAGCTCGCCTCAGCCTCCGATCGCGTGGTGGGGCCGGGGCGCTTCTCTGAAGAGCTGAGGGGAAGCAGGGGCCGTGGGCACCTTGGTCTGCCTGACTCATCTGGGTCAGAAGCTGACTGGAATCGAAGTTAGGGTGCTGCCCCCCCCCGGCACTGGTGGGGGACAGGGCCTGGTCCTGAGGGGGGCTGGGGCAGCCTTGAGCCTTCTCGGGCTGGCATTGTCACGGCCAGGATGGGGCCTGGTACTTAGAGACCATGGCAGTACCTGTCCAGTCTTCAGGGGCCAAGGTCGGAATCTCACTGAGGAGGCAGAGGAGGCAGGTGAGCGCGTGGGCAGAGGCGGGTGTTCGCAGGCCACAGAGTGGTGGGCATTAGTTACCTTGGGGTGGTAGCGGAGGGGGGAGAGGCTGCTGTTGAAGGGGTCGCTGAGTCTCAAGCGTTCCTGATGTGCACGCTCAGCCCTGCCCGAGCTCTCTCTGGCTCTTCCGGCTCAGCTTGGGGAAAAGAGGCAAATGGAGCAGGGAGCAAGGGTACAGCAGGAGGGAGGCCAGTCGGGCCTGTGGGCAAGGAGGTGGCCAGGACGTGGCCGCGCAAGGCTGCTGTAGAGTTCTTCCTCACCCCGCGCTGCTTGCTGCCCCAGCCTGCCCACACCACCTGATCTGGGGCTTCCCTGGGCAAGAGACCCAGGCTGGGGAGGGAGGTCCAGGTCCCCACAGGCTGCCTGGAGGCGCTGGCTTTCAGGACCTGGAGTTCACAGTCCATGCTGTGCTGAGCCATGTGTGAAGGTCAGGGTGGCAGAGATGGCAGCCAAAGAAATGAGGAAAAATGCTTCATGCTGGAGAGTTGTGTTTGGCAGCAGCAACTGGACCAAGTCTGTCCCTTAAGGAGTAGCCTGGCCCTGCGGGCAGCCTGTGCAACAGAGCTGAGGGCCAGAAGGCAGGACGGGAGGGCGTACGTGGACTTTCAGCACCTGGGCTGTGGTCAAGCAAGGAGCTTGTGGACAGCTGCACAGGCTACCTGACAGGAGAGCGGCAGACGGCTGCGGACAGCAGGATGGCTGGTGCCGGTGCCAGGCCCAGGGAGCCAGAGGATGTGGGGGAGCTGATCGGCCAGCTTGCACTTCTTATGTAAGCTTCTGGAGCCAGGAGGAAGAGACTCGGCCCTAAACAAGGGCCCTGCTCGCTTGCTCGCTCGCTCGCTCTTTTTCTTCCTTCCTTCCTTTTTTCATATTTTGTGCAGGGTCTCACTGTGCA